GGTGGCCAGCATACCACCAGCGCCAATCCAACTGAGTGCTCCACCCAATGTTGTCGGTACAGTTCCAGAGATTCCCGTGGCAGATCAACCGGAGATGGTTCCTGTTCCCACACCTATAGCTCCCGACCCTCCTGAAGCGACTCCAGTCAGTCCCACGGTCCGCGAGTGGCGGTACCCTCAGAGAGTGTGCAGGGCACCACAGAGACTCGATCTCGGAATGGTTTTTCTGTTTTTCTTAGAGAGTGTAGGTTACCGGACACTGTTAGTCGATTTGGTTTGTTTCCTTGAGATTGTATTTTAGACACAGTTACAGACTAGGGACGGAACATTTTTGTGTGGAGAAAATGTTATGGTCTCCCTGTGCGTTTTCCATGTATAGTAATTACATGCGAACACACAGATTCAATAAAAACGTGATTGTAGTGAACCGTCATGCTGTCCGGGTGCGTTCTCAGATCTCTCGTCAGTAATTGACAGACAAGGATCTGTACAACATTACATTTCAATTTACGTAATGTTAGTTTATTATTTTTTAGGAATTGTCTGTTTTTTTTTACTGCCCATCAGTAAAGAAACAGTATAGCAAAGCATTTCATTGATCAAATTGATAAATCTTAACTTTTGTGTCTCCAGAATGAAATCTGGGAGCGAAAGCGTTAAGCAAAGAGGCACAAAAAGGCAGTGATGGAATTTTTCTGTAAGGCTAAGGCTAAGGAAACCAAACTATAAAAGCTTTATCAGATGACCCCACAAAAAGCAAGCCTTCCACCAAGCCCCATTAAAGTACAAAATGTCACTTGTGATATGTGACGTGTAACGCAGAACAAAAAAACTCATGATTTACTAATGACAGCCAGGTAGGAAAATCGATTCAAACAATTGAACACTGTCGCAAAATAGTAAAACGCTTGAATGAAATAATATAAAATTTTGGAGTAAATTTGACCCGACATCAAACAAACCGAATGGGAAAATATTCCCTAAATTGCGTTTATTCTTCCTTTTATATTCCACTTTAAATGTTTCAAAATGAGTCAGCAACACCTGCCTTCAAATGTATCTTTTATCTTAAAGATGACTAAATTCGTTATGTAACAAATTGCATTTTTTTTTCTAACAAGAACGTATCCTTTCAAAACTCCTTCGAAGCGTTTTTAACTTTTTAATATTGCCACTGCTGTACAACTGCGTGGTTCAGGTTGGTTTCACTGGGTGACATTCCTAGGAATGAACGCCAACGTGAATCTCTTCCAACTGCTTGAAAATTCCTACAACTCGTTATTGTCATGTAGCATTGCAAATCGACGCTTGTAACAGCCTTCTCAGACGGTTCGCGTCTTTTGACCTCAACACAACCTCTTACAATGCGTTTTCAATGATACTCGAGCTTATTAGATTAAAATTTTTACTAAAACCATCCAAAAACTAAGAAACCAGGAGGAAGTAAATCAAATTAACCTACAATTATCTATAAAATATTTCAATTACCGTTTTCTCCCTGCAGAGCGAAGGAACCAAAATGCGCCCTGGGTTAGCAATTTCTTGGCGTGCTCGGATTTTTTCCACCTCTTAAACCTAGCGACTCTGGCCTTACAATTGCTTTGCTACACCTGCATCGGCATCTAGCACTCTTTTTTTTAAACCAAGATACCACATCCTATCACAAAGGTAATTTTTAATCAGATTTTAGCCTTCCGACCAAGAAAATGAAATGTTCTGACCGCTCTGTTTATCAACCTTTTAGCGCTGATCAACTTTGGATGGGTCAAGACAACCAAATTACTAAATCAAAACTTGTAAATAAATTTGGTTGCCATAAAAGATTGATATGAAAAAAAACACTTCATATTTTTTTTGTTTTTGAAAATTTCAATAATTTTCAAAGAAAAACGTCACCTTAAATCTTTCAAGTTTTCGTCAGTATGGGTGATTAATATCGTAAAATAATTGCAAATTAACTTCCTTAAGAAAAATTCCTTTTATATCATGTTTTATATTCCGTCGTAAATTTAGGTTAACAGTTCGACAAAAAATGAATCCCGACGAATATGATTTTGCTTTTCTTAATTAAAGGTTATGATATAAGTTGAACCAAATATACCAAAGATAGTTGTAAATTAAAATTTAGATCGCATAAGTCTGTTACGAACTTGCCAGACAAAAGTCGCTTACGTTTAGAAATTAGATTTTCCGTAATACAGAGACGAATCAATAACTTCCGAACAAACTTGCCTTTTTTCTTAAAAAACAAAACTTATTAAAACTCAATTCAGACCTAATTCATACTCAAACAGGTCAGAAACTTTTGACTTGAGATCAAGCCGAAATTTTGCTGCTCTCAACTGAAAAATTCATTTGATTCGTCTTTCGGGCACACAAATTAGCAGCACGCGAGCGTGTAAACGGAGACTCTCCACGCGAGCGAGTGAGCGATTTGGCACGTGCCGAATGCTTAGCTCGCTCCCCTTCCCGGGTTGTTTTGATTAACGAAGAAATATCCATATTAGAGAAAAAGGTATAATATTTCCAAGGTTCGAAAGCGTCACAGTATTATATTTGAAATAAATACCTATATCGAGACACCACAACTTCATGGCTTTTAAGTGAACGAAGATCACCTAAATTAGTGAAGGCTAAAGTGCATAAAAACGGGGCTCAAACTAGCCATGGCAGTTTAACTGAAAGCTGATACCTAAATCCCATTCATGATAAAAATGAAAACTGAACTTAACGTAAAGAGTACTGGAAACGCTATTTGCACACACCTTACTCAAGGTACAAGGGAATCATCGAATTGTAATAAGAAAACCTCCAACCATTCTCCAACAAAACCACGGCGTACCGTTCACGGCGTCCTGCTTGTGAGATTTCTGGCAGGGTGTAAAGCAGTGCAGAGTTCCCTATAACAACTGATAGACAAAACATCTTGTGAGACAGTGGTCAGTCTCATTTTCATGACATTTTGGGTAATCCTGTTTATTCTTTTCCCAGTTTTTTTCTTTGCTCCCGGGCGCAAGTCAAGAGCGTACTTTATTAATCTTCTTAAGTTTTTCAAGAGGCTGAAACAAGGTTCTCAGCATTTATAATGACTACTTCCACTTCGACGCTTCGATACTATCTTTTTTTTTTTCAGTATGTAACTTAAACTTGAAAGCCCATTTAGCTTACCATATTTAGAAATCTTGAATTCTCAGTAATTCTACAGCTAACAAGACAATCGCCAACTCGAAAGCTGTTGTTCCTTTGGCCACTGTGCTCGTACCTGAATATATTTTAACACAATTGTTAGTACTAAGCAATGCCCTGTAAACAGCATAAAATATAAAGTTGAAGATGAATTTCTCAGTTCATGCTACTGAACGGTATCAAACGCAATGCCTTCAATAACATTGCTGCATAAAGTTATAATCATATTCTGCCAGTAACAGGTTACCGTAGCAACAGTTTTACTTGATAGAAATATCCTTCATTATAGCCTTTTAAAGCACTTTAAAGTACTGATAACTCAAACCATAGTTTGATAGCCTCTGTTATATAAAGGATTCAAGATTTTAGTTTTTCGCAGAGTTTAAAAACAAAATATGGGATCGCCCCTCAGCCTCCTTTTTGAGTTTTGGAAAACACGCCCAATTTTTTTGGAACCGCACAGATAGTCATAATTTGTCATGATAATCACAATACGACACTGGAAAAAAGTAACAACCTAACAAACAAACAAAAAACTAGGGTTACCAAACTAGTTTTTCAAACATGAGCATTTAAAGCTAAAACCAAGAGTGTTTTATAGGGATATGCTGTTTCTATTGTAACCTGTTAAAGAAGAAAACGACCACCACTTGTCAAGCAAAGAATGGGTAATGTGACATCAAAGAAGAAAGGGGGTAGCATCCACTGTAGAAGAAATGTTTCAAAATAAAGAGCAACCTTAATTTATTATAAGGAAAATTCCCGCATAAGAACCAGAGAAACATGTCCAAACTGAGGTCCCGTCTACACGTATCCTGATATTTTTTAAAACGGAGATTTTTTTCCGTCTGTTTTCGAAAAAATACCCGTCCATACGTAGCGTATTCGAATCGTTTTCGTCCGTCCACACGGAGACGCTAAAGCAATGGAAATACGATAGCATCCCTTACAGAGCATGCGCTATGCCAGGAGCCCGTAAGTAGTATACCACTTATGACATCATCCTATTCGAAAACCTCCGTTTTGGTGCATAATAACGCATTTTGCAAGCGGTTCAACTCAGAGAGACTTTTTCCCCTTTTGAGTTTAGTTCTGCGGGATTTAAGATCGGCGTCTGAATCAATTCGGCCGATGTTTTAGAATTATTTGGGTCGGCCTTACTTTAAATTAGATCAGTTTAGCGCATGAAAAGTTCGGCGTCTGAACTGGGCCTAAAAAATGTGTTGCGTCTCTTCATCAGTGTCACGGGAAAAGTAAGAAGAACAAAACGGTTCATAGACATGCTGATATTTTAAAAGGTTCATCATCCCTTCCAGGTGAAAGATCAAAGCTATCCTCACACATTTAAACATTTCAATAGTTTAAAATCGTCGATCCGAGCACCTTATTTTGTGTCCTACTTTTGTTTGTCCTGTAGGTATTTCTGCAGAAAATGTGAACCTAAAGAGCCTACGCAGAAACACTCTAAGAGATTCAACTAGTTTACAGAGTGCTCCAGTATTCCAAGTTCTGGTGTATTAACGTTCCCTGTTCCGGTGATCCTTCTCTTACACTGTTCAGTTATGTCACGCTCTTGTTCCGAGACCCTCCGAGACCAACATGCACCCATGATATATGCACAACGACTCTGCATTTCACTTTATCTTCCTAGTGCTAAGTCATTGAGCTAAATTGCCGAAGAATCCTAAAGGCGATTAAAAAAGGGTCAAAGTGCGAAAAAAAAAAACCTGCCAAGTCATCTTGTTTCGACAGTTTCGTCACCCCGACAAGTCCTGGGAACGACACTATCACCTGACGCAACACTTGCGTTAGCAGTCAAAGTAGATAAAAGTTGGGACAGACGACAGAAGTTCCAGTTTTGTTCCTGTCCCCTTCCAGTTTGATGTCACTGTTACTGAGAAGAGAATTGTCGAGCTAAAGAAAATGGCGATGGAATTCTTAAAATCTCGCCTTCGTGCGATAGTCTATGCACCTGGGACAACCCCGATCGACTGGAGGCTCTTTTCTATTCTTTTCCTTTCAATGGTGCGTAGGTTTATTTCACGATCTTTCAATTTTTTTTCTCTAGTATAGTTTGACTCTCCTCTCAAAAATAGTGTTAGTCTAATAGTATGACTAAAATCGTTTTTTGCGTAAAAAAAGTCTCCAAGAAATCCGTTCAGCATCGCGATCGCACAGATATTTGGCTATTGTGCGTGAAGTGATAGTTTCTCGTGGATAAAGAAGATATAGCAACACAGTACCTACACAGAGGGCACAGCTTAAAGGGGACTTTAAAATAATGAACGCTTATTGTCTGCGATTCAAACTAAACCGTGCATTAACGGGTTTGTAAAATGTTGTGAGCGCCTGTGTTACCCAAAGTAAAGTCTTCTGAAAGCTGCCATTTTGGTTTAGGCGCGAATGAGAAGTCAAAGGGGGTGGGGAGAAGGTGGGGAAGGTAACATACTGCTGGGCTTAATTCTTTAGGACATTAGAGATTATCTTGGCTCGCCCATTTTTTTTAGAGTTGCTCCTTTGCTTTACAAAATAATCTCCTTCCTTATTACCGTATTTTGTACATCGTTGGGATTGGACTTGTAAATTGAGGATTTGTGGATCACGGACTTGTAAAATGCCATATTACCCCTTTTCTGTGTACAGTTATGGCTACCCTAGCCTGCTAGCGTAGACAACTTTTTGACTCTTGTTTCTTGGCGGGTAAATAAAACCCAAAAAAGTTGTCTGCTCTCGCAGGCTATGGCTGCCCAGTTTCCAGCCAAATATGTCATAGGTTACAGAGCATTAGCTGGGGAATTCTGCGTAGAAAGCGGAGAATTCTCCAATCTCTGATGCCTAATGAAGACCCTGAAATCGTGATTTATCTATTTATTTATTATTTAGAAGGGTTTTTGGTTAAAGCCATCATACTCTTACCTTGCTAGCAGAGATTTCTTTCTGACATTGTTTCATTCATGTCCCTGATATTTGCATGGCTGGCTTAGAGCCAACTACTCAAATGTAAGTGATGTAAATGACTTCACAAATGCTAAAAACCATGCTGAAAACATATCTCTGCTTGCAGGGTATCCCACTACTCCCATATTGATGGAAAATTTGGCATTATACAACCTTGACCTACCCGATGCTTTTAGAGTACCTCTAAAGGCTACCATATTGTACAGTTCTGTATAGCTCCTATATTATATGATACATACATTTACAAACAGCACTGCATGATCTTCCCCTGCATTGACCTTGTCTTGCTAGTTGGTACCTGTATTAAGATAAAAAAAAAAACAAAACCCATTGCATCGTATTGTTTATTGTGTGTTTTTTGATGATTACAATTTTATTTGCATTATTTCCTTTGTAGTTGTGCCTTTCACTCTCCATCACAATACTATTTCCATTTCTCCCTGCTATGGTGAAGGTAAGTAATGTCCTTTTTCACTGTCTAAACTAATACATATTTTATAATGCCTGGCACAAACTAGTCTAGTTGTTGCAGCTGTACAAAACCCTTTATATATACTCATTGTAAGATGCATGTCTGTTGAATCAGTGGGGTACCCAACCAAAATACATGTAAAAAAACAAGTCAAGAATCTGTTATCCTTCTAGACTATTATTATGTTTTCTTGAACCAGGATATAGTTGGTGGAAAAATAATGTTGAGGCACTGTCATCACATGAGTTACATGTGTATTTCAGAAAAAAAAGAAGAATCTGGCCACTCTCTCCCCTCCAACCACATAATTTACACCCATCCACAAGAAAACTACCATAAAATCATCCTCAAATAAAACTGATGCAACTAGGTGGCTAACGTGCAAATAAAGTCAAAGACAACAGTACTACTTCTTTTGCATTAATCTATATCAACTTTAGGAACAATACATTGATTTTCATTCACTGATTTTTTTGTCAGAGTTTTGGGATATCTGATGAAGAGGCAGGTTAGCGTTAAAGAACATTATCATTAAATGCAATATTTAGCAATGTATAAATTTGTAAGTGCAATATTGAAACATTGAAATATATGTAGCAAGAGTTTCAGCCAAAACTGCTGGAGGAACATTTGCAATTAAAATGTTGAGTAACAATTTGGAGCATTTACAGTGCTTCTAAAACTAAAGAGTACCTGTTAAAAGAATATCATGATTGGTAATTGGCTTTGTTTTAAGAATGAAGCAAACATGGAAATTACATGGCCTGAAAACTCATATAGGTGGTGTGTTCTACCCCAAAGCAATTCAGTTATGGGATTCCAAAGTTTGCAAAAAAAAATTACCACCCAGCGTGCAAAGAAAGTCGTGTCCGATAGCCTTGGGCTAGTGGATTTTGCTATCAGGCTAGTGATTTTTGTTCCTAACTTGCGCGACGGGCAAGTGCTGTTTTTTGGGGAAATCCAAATTACAGAAGGATTGTAATCAATCCTGCTAATCAAAAAGGGTTTTGGGGCTAGTTGAAATGACTTGTGGGCTAGTACATGCTAGCTACAGCGTGCCCGAATGGCAGGCTGTAAAACTGACTTTCTTTGCACCCTGCCACCACTAAAATCGTATTATTTCATATTATTGCCAAATGATATTGGTAGTTCAATACAAAATTTTGTAGCCATCATGTTAAACCAAAAAAGTTACAAGGAAATGTTTCTCATAGCTCAATGTGCAGTCAGTATCAATGATGGAGCCACCTTTAATAACTTTCTCTTATTTATCACCAGGTTACTATGCAGGTCTTGTGGCATCCTCCATGTTTATTGGGCGTGTTGCAACTTGGTTTGTAAAATTCTTTGTACAAATACCACTGACTGTATTTAAAGGTGACAATATCACAAAAACAAACAAACATTTTTGAGTGTCAGACATTATTGAAGAGATTTGGATTTTTCAAACTTTGCATCTAAACTGTCAAACAAGCTCGAGTTCACTCTGACATTCTTTTACATTGAATTTTCTTGCTTATCTCTCAAACAAAAGATAGAAATATTATTAGGTGGTGAGTAGTCCCAAAGTTTGGATTTTTTATGAACACAACCTTTCCCAAATAATAAATATTACTGCAATTTGATTTTCAAAAGCAAAGTTTCATCCGCCTCCACTACAGGAATATGCAGTTAAATTTGTTTCATTTCATATATTTTCAAAAAGCTTAATATTTCAGACACTAATTTTTACCTCCCTCTATGCCAATTTTAGCTACTTTTGGGGATGGCTCGCAGACAAAATTGGTAGACGACCTGTGCTGTTACTTTCTCTTGCATTACTCACTGCAAGTATGGTTGCCTTTGGATTGTCGACCTCACTATATATGGCCATCTTCACAAGGTTTTTTGCAGGGATATCCAATGGTATTTATTTAAAAAATTATAATAAATTTGTCTAAAATGTTTGCACATGTATACTAGTGAAAAGACCACAGTGAAGACTACAGTAAAATGTATATTGTCACAATTTCCTGGCTTTTAATTTTCATGTTAGAAGCAGCATTTGTGGTTCAAATATATTCTCTTGAGACAAGAGTCTCATCTCTCAAAGAATCGGTGGAGCAGCATTTTGGAATGAATGGCAAGCAAAGAAATTCGACCCAATTTGCAAAATGGCCAACAAGCTAAGAACTCTGTGATTGCCAAGTCTATAATGGCCTGCTAGTTTCACTATAAAACAATGGAAAGGTGCAATAAATGGAAAAATTCCTTTGGTGCTTGGCCATCTTAAAAAATATGACCTCGCAGGCCACACTTGGTCATCATTTTTGAGGAGGCCTCTGAGCTCAGGGGTTATCCTACAAACGTGACATTTGTGTAAAAATAATATGTATTGTATTTATGCAAGCATGGAATTTAAGAGTAGTGCTATCCAAATATTTTGACAAACTATAAACAAAAAATAAGATTGCATGAGACTAGACAAAAGACATCACTATTATTCTATAATACAAAATATAATTTCCTCAATATGCAATATATTAGTCAACTTGCTGTGGAGAGCTCATCTGCACTAAATGAATGTGTGGTTTTTTTTTTTTGAGAAATGTATAAAATCATGCATTTTGGCCTTAAGCATTCTGTGTTTAATATTAAAACAATCACAAACAGAAATAAAGATCACTTCCAAGAATAGCCTGGTTAGATTAACAAATGTATCAGATCACATTTTTGATGTGTCATTGTCTACCCATGATTTATTTTCTTAGAAATCAAGATTTCCCAACATTTTGTTAATATTAAAAAACAGCAACAACATAATGATTCCTTCGTTGATCTGTGTTGATATTAAATGCATGGCGTTTATGCAAGTTCTACTTGAAACTTGATATTCTAACACATTCTTATGATAAAAATGGTACTCTTTGTTCAAGGTTTAATTGGAACAGTTAAAGCAATTGCTTCAGAAGTTTGCGATAACACTAACCAGGTAGATTCCGACAAATTTTCCAAATCTTGAACCTATTTCAAACCAAGACATGCCATTTTCCACACCCATGTTCAGACTGGTACTCAGTTTGCCAACCCATTATCTTGTCCATTTAGTATTAGTCAACGTACTTTTCAAGCTGTTTTTTTTATAGTAGTATTTGAACTGAATGTTCTTATTCATTCAGAGGTGAAAAGTCAAATAAGTTTATGTGCCCTCATGGTTTCCTTGAAAACCATACTTTCTTGAATTCAGAATCTACATAATTAGGGGTGGAGAATGGTAAAATCCGAGACTCGCCGAGACGCCGAGACCCTAGTTAGAAATCCGAGCCCAAGACTCTTTGGTAAAAAGTTTTGAGACTCAAAAATTAAAAACAAACCATGCAAAAACGAGACTTCGAGACTTATCAAAAACGCTTCCGAGATTTCGAGATCCTGTTAAAATTTTCCGAGACCCACGTGTTTCGAGGTACCATTCGCCACCCCTATAATTATACCCCTTTTCAGACCAAAACTGCTCAAAATCCATGAGTGGCACATACCTATAACGCATATAGGGGAGTGTTTCCGCCCTACTGGGGTAAAGTGCAACACATATTAGAAGAACATTTTTTTTTTTTCATTTATGCATATTTTACTAAAAAAAAGAGAGAAAAGATAAGAGAGCCTCAGGATGAGAAGGTAGAAGATCAGACTTAATGTGTTCAGGACGCAGGGGGATGAGTTTTAACTAAGGAAGCATTCCATGGATCGAAAAAGGCAAAAACATTTTTTACTGCAACACAGTATTGACATAGACAACTTTTGTCTTAATTTTGAAAGTCAAAAAGGCTGAGAAAGTTATGCTGTTTTTCATTCTTTCAGGCAATAGGGATATCAGTGGTAATTACAGCTTGGAATATGGGTCTTATTGTTGGCCCAGCTGTAGGAGGTTAGTATGATGATTATATACCGTATAAGTAAGCCGAGAAGACAAATAATAAGCCTGTGAGCAGTCTATTGTTTTACCTCTTTCACCCAGTTAAAGGGTAAAGGAAAACACTCATATATCATTAATTTGCATTGCATTTTTCAATAATTCATTACAGGATATCTGGCAGAACCAGCAGAGAAGTACCCAAATGTGTTTCCTAAAGGTACAATTTTCTATGGACACAATAATTTGGTTAAAAAATTTTGTACAAAAGTATACATGTATTTGTGACAATAATTCAAATTCGTCATGAATAAAAAGCCAATATTTTTCAGCCTCTCATCTGTTCTGCTGCATTCATTCTGGCAGATTTAGTTGTGCTGATATCTATTTGAGATAAGAAGACACTAATTTTCTATTTATGGGAAATAGGCAGAAATAAAACTGTAACATAATTATGGAGAAAAGAGCTTTTACTGCTGCTTGTTCTAGACCATGAAATGACCTTTCCACAAATTAATATTATTTCATGACCTATAGCACATGCCTAGTTTCCTTAATGCTTTGTAAATAATCATTTTTCATCTCATTTTTGCCCTGACATTAATTTATTAATCTTGCTTCTTTTAATACATATGTAGGTTCCTTTTTTGATCAATTTGCCTTCTTCCTGCCCTGTCTGTTCAACTGTGTGTTCCTACTTATTACATTTTCGTTGGGTTATTTCTACTTACAAGAGACTCTTGTCAAAAGGTAAATAGTAACTATATTGACAATACTGAAAGGAAATGGGGCAGTGTAAAATGCAGACTGTGGACTGACTACAGACTATTGTTTTTAGGGTTAGAAAATAATGGGACTATTGTTGTCACGCACTCATTTGCATGGTGAAAACAATAGTCCGCAGTCTGCGTTTTACACTGGCCGGAAAGGAAATACTTGAAATGACACTGTCACTGATTCTGCCTGCTATTTTGCCTTAATTCCAAAAGAATTTAATATCAAAGAGTGTAGATACTCTTTTTAAATTGGGATAATACAGGGTATCACTTATTTTAATAAATGAGAAAAAGAATTTCCTCCTTAGTTGCAGCCAAAATTACAAATGAAGGAGAGAGGTGAAATCAGACATCAGCACATAGTCAATAGATTGAGTTAACTATCTCTCAAAAGACGAACACCTCCCAAAACAGACTTTGAAGAATTGGTTCCTGTTGTTCTTCAGTCATTTTCATTTTCTTAGTGGACATCAGTCTTAAAAACGGACATTCAGTAGTGCCCCCAAATGGTGTCTGCCTAAGGGAGAGTTGACTGCATAGGTAATTGCTATGGTTTGGGGCAACTTTAGTTCATCTCTAATCTCAACCCACCCACCTGGCCAAACCAATGACAGTGTCAATCGGATATGCCAAGGAAGTAAATTGTGACTGGAGTAGGGTGATCTCAATTTCTAGGTGTTTTTACTGAAAATAGTTAGTGGCATTTTACTACCAAACAAAACAACAAAGTAACTTAACTCTTGATTTGTTTTTTCAATGCAGAGACACTACAACAGTTGCAAGCGAACCAGGTGAATTACCCATGCAAAGCACAGTTTCCTTAGAGGGTCAAGATGATTCCAATGAGCAAAGATTACTGGAGGACTCTGAGAAATATAGTACACAAGTAACCAGTTCACAAGAAAACAGAGAAGTTGAGATATTTATGAGTGATGCCAGCAATAGTGAAAGAGAAAAAGGAGAAAGTTGCTTAAGTGGTTGC